GCCACCCAGAGCTGGGGTCCAGGTGAGACTTGACACTGTGCCGTGTGGGCAGCTGGCCCTACCTCTGCACCTGGGACCACCCGGCTTGGAAGGGAGTAGGACCCAGGACTCAGACGCTCGGGAATCAGACGAGGGGGACAGTGGGCGGACAGCGCCTCAGCATCACGCCTCAATTGCAGCTGGGATCACCGAGATGGGATTCCGGAGGCCCTGATTCTCCCCCTCTGGCACCTGGGCTGTGGCCTTCCCCCCTCATCACAGTCCCCCCCCCCCCAGCCCGTCACCTGCCACTCCTCTTTTTTGTGCCTCAGGCTCACCAGTAACGCTGGGCAAGTCAGGCAACCTCTCTGAGCCTCAGCTTCCTCATCCATAAAATGGGTGTGAGGATCCCCGGTGTGGCCATCCGCTCCCTGCAGCTGTGGGTCCCACGAGGCAGTTATGGGTCACAGGGCATCTCTCCCCACGGACAGGGCAGATCTCCAAGGTTTGGTTCGCTCGAGGGAAAAGGCAATTGATGCGATCGGAGTTTAAACGCACACAGAGACACGAAACTCAAGCTCTGTGTTTATACAGGCACATGCTCTTACGTAAGTAACACAAGGAAAGAGTCTGATGGAAAGTTCGCCAAAACCAAGCTTCGAGCACAGTGGGGGCAAGACCAAAGGGGATTAATCAAGATGGACTTGGGTCTCATTGATTTTAATTTTTACGAGACTGTTCGAGAACTGCCGTCTGATTTCAGATAAATAAGACACAATGGTACGTCTAAGATGCGCCCTTTTTGCAAGGGCGTGGGGAGAACTAACATGGCCCCTCCCTCCTCCCCTGCTCCTCTCGCCTCCTCAGGACCTGCGGCCCCCATCCGGGTCAATTATTCACTCAACAAGCACACACCAACACCTCCTCCATGCCAGCCTCCGGCCCGACTCTGGCTCAGAGGCGGTTCTGAGGTGGGCCTGGCCCAGAGAGGGACCAGACCCCCAGATCTGGTTCCCTTCACCCAGAGGGTCACACCAAGGCCTGGGCGAAATGTGCGTGTCAGCCCCGGTGGAATGCGGTCCCCAGGAGGGCACCAGGAAAAACAAGTCAGGTCCCTGGAGGTCACACCCACTGCCTGGTGACCGTGGGGCTCTGGGAGGCCCTGCTCCCCAAAGATGGGCAGCAGCATCGTATCTATGATGTCAGGACCTGGAGAGCTGGTGGGCAAGGAGCTGGGGGTGGGGAAGGGCTCAGAACGGCCCCAGGACAGGGCAGGCGGGAGGGATGTGGGCGACGAGCCGGGGACCCCAGGGCTGGGGGAGGCCCCTGGCGGACAGTGGGGCTCCAGTGCCCAGGCCAGGAGCTGAGACCCAGAAGTGGGTCCTGGCTGAGGTCTGACCAGAAAAAGAAAGTGCAGGAACTTGACCGAGGTCCCAAGAACCCAGCAATCATGGGCTGAGGCCACACAGATGCTTCCAGGAGTCATGGCGAACATTCGGGCACCTGGGAGTCCTTCTGACAGGCCTGGGGGAGGCGTGGCTCGCCATCAACGGAGAGCATGGGAACAGAAAGAAAGCCAATGCGGACCCCATCACCACCCTGTGAGGCCCTGCTGCGTGCCAGCCCCTGTGCCGAGCTCCGAGCTCGGGGCCTCCTCAGGACCCCAGCCAGGAAGGGGTGGCCCCTTCGAGCCAGGCCAGGTTGGCCTCCCTCCCAGATGGACCTTCTGTTCCACCCCAGCTCTGCGATCGTGGCCAGTGTTCACACGGCGAGGCACACGTCACCTCAGTCAATCCTCACCGCAGCTCATGAGGCAGGGTGGTCATCATCCATTCTTCCGATGAGGAACTGAGGCTCAGAGAGGGTGAGCAACCTGTCCGAGGGCACACAGCTCGTACTCAGAACCCAGATTCAGACCCGGGCAGTCTGAAGCCACCTCTTAGCACGAAGCTGTGCCACTCACCCCAAAGCAGTATGGGAAAGGCTGGTCTCAGCCCTAGACCCAACCGCAGACCCGCTGGTCATCTCTGACCTCCCAGCCCCTGACCCCTGCCTGCCTGACTCTGTTTCCCACAAGGCAGTGGGGTGAACTGGAGAGAAGAGAGGCTTCTGCTGCCCGACGACACCAGGTTCAAATCAGATTCAGCACTGGAGTAATTGTGGATTTTTCCCCCGAGCCTCAGTTCCTAACCTGTAAAATGGGGTCGCGATGTCCACAGCAGCAGCCCGTGGTGAGACTGCATGAGAATGAACGTGGTGACCTGTGGGCTGTGGGGAGGGTCTCAGCCCTAAAAGCAGGGCCGCGGAAACACAGGGTACACCAGCCCAGATGCACCGCCAGCTGTGCGCGGCCTGCCCGACCGAACCCGAGGAACACCCGGGCATCACAGCAGCCCAGCCCTTGTCCCTCCCACCCAGAGAAGCAAGAGCCTCGGCAGTGCCAGGGGCTCAGTCCCCGTGGCCACCGTGACCTGAGCCCAGGCCCCTGCCCCTCCAGGGTTGTGCAGAAAACACCAGCATTTTTGGTCAACCTTAGGCTGGGAGGGGCTGGGTGCAGCGTCTCTGCCCTCCTGTGTCCGAGGGGAGGTTGACTAAAGCCTTTCCGTCCTCGTCTTGCTGACACTGATGCATTGCGATGGGATGTGTCACCTCCCCCTCCATGAACCTGGCTCATAACCACCCACTCGGTGCTTAAAGGTCTTTATCATGAGCAGGTATCGCTTTGGTAATCAGAAAATAACCACAGGGCACTTTAAAAACAATAAGTAATGGGGCACCTGGGTGGCTCAGTCGGTTAAGCGTCCGACTTTGGCTCAGGTCATGATCTCACGGTCCGTGGGTTCGAGCCCCGCGTCGGGCTCTGTGCTGACAGCTCAGAGCCTGGAGCCTGCTTCCGATTCTGTGTCTCCCTCTCTCTCTGCCCCTCCCCTGCTCATGCTCTGTCTCTCTTTGTCTCTCAAAAATAAATAAATGTAAAACAAAAAGAAATTTTAAAACAATAAGAAATAACCCCCCAGGCCAGCTCAGGGCCGGTTGAATGAGAGCCTGCCGGGGTCGCTGTCCTGACCTCAGCCCGCATGGCAGCCTGACCACCCCATGAGGGACACTGGTGTCACTCCCATGGCAGCGGGGGCCGCAAGGAAACCGAGGAAGCCCCGGGATTTCTCGGCTCCTCCGCCCAGGCCCCACCTGCACCTGATGTCTGTGCTTCCTGCCCCTCTGTTCCCTGCCCCTGCAGGAATGAGAGCCTGACCTGAGCCCCTCTCCTGACCCTGTCCCACACGGAAGGCCTGTTTCCCACAGGGACATAGAGAAACTTGCAGGGCAGGGACGAGTGTGAGGCGAGGGAGGCACCCCCACACATTTAAGGGGTGCTCACCTTACCGCCCCTTAGCCCCCCCTCCAGTGCAGCTCTGCCTGGCTCCCCTCTCCCTACCCTACCTGGGGCCTGGCTCCCCTCTCCCTGCCCTGCCTGGGTCCTGGCTCCCCTCCCCCTGCCCTACCAGGGGCCTGGCCACCCTCTCCCATTCCCTACCTGGGGCCTGGCTCCCCTGTCCCTGCCCTACCTGGGGCCTGGCCCCCCTCTTCCTACCCTATCTGGGGCCTGGCTCCCCTCCCCCTGCCCTACCAGGGGCCTGGCTCCCCTCCCCCTGCCCTACCTGGGGCCTGGC